TAACAAATTCAAGGTCGATTGTTCCTTCTTCCACAGCATCTTTTATAAAATACAATTTTCGGTTTATATGTTTCGTCCGGGAAGTTATTTTTTCAGATTTAATCCACTTGATAGCAGATTGACTATCTGTTTTAAGCGTTGTAGGAAAGTTCGCATCCTCACATATTTCTTCTAAAAGTCCTTTAATCCATTTTACTTCGCACATCCCTTCGCATATCGAAATCAGTTCGGCTTCGCATGTAGACAGAGCCACCAAACTTTGTTTCTTGCTTCTCCAACTGATCAGGTTGTTTCCCAGTTTAACTGTGTATCCGGAATAGGACTTTGCATCACTTGTTGAACACCAGCTTGCATCTGTGCTGGCAAGAATGCTATTTTCTGATGGCTTGTATCTTAACATTTTATCTCTGGTGCCCTTCAGGTATCTATATATTCTCTTAACTCCTGTTAAATGTACTTCTCTTGCATCATTGCAAAATCGGGATAAATTGCTCACATTAAAAGAAATATCTGGACGAATTCCGGTTGCCAAATACATCAGGGATCCGATCATCTCTGGATACAATGTCCTGTCTACTGGTTTGGAGTCTTGACATACATCAAAACTTTGGTCTCGATCTCCCGGAGTTTGTACAATGTTACATTCCTCGAGTGCAAATTTCTTCAAGATTTTATCGATATAATGGGCTTGTGATAGATCAAAACCGTATTCTGCTTTCTTTATCTCTATACCAATGAAAGGTTCATTCTCCCCTTTTTCTTTTAAAGCAACAAATCTTCCTATCTCTGATGCTAGTTTTTCATTAAAGGTTTTATCCGTTCCGGCTATTATTAGATCATCCACGTATAAACCCAATATTCCATATTCCTTTCCTTTTCTAAAAGTGTACACACATGGATCATATTGCGATCTTTCCATTCCCAGTTGTATTAGTATCTCGTTGTGATCTTTTTATTCCAACAATGTCCCGATTGTGGAAGTCCATATATACTTTTTAACAATTTGCAAACTTTGTCTTCTTCACCTTTTTCAACAAATCCTTCTGACTGTTTCATAAAAATAGTTTCTTTCAATTCTCCGTAAAGGTAGGCGGTCTTCACATCATATGATGTTATAACCAAATTCAACTGAGCTGCTAGGGCTACAATTGCACGAAGACTTTCTTTTCTGATCACTGGTGAAAAAGATTCCTCATATTCTACGCCATATTTTTGATTACAACCAATAGCAACTAATCTAGCTTTTCTTCTATAAACACCTTCACCAGGCGTACTCTTTATGCTAAAGATCCATTTGCAATTTATGATCTTCATATTCTTTTCTCTTTGAACGAGAGTCCATACCTTATGCTTGTCAATAGAGTAAAGTTCTTCTTTCATTGCTTCGAGCCATTCATATTTATTCTCGCAGTTAATCGCCTCCTCATAATTTTCGGGAATACTTTCTTCTGGTTCTAAAATAAAATTCACATTATTTCTTTCTTTTATTCTTTGCGAACGTCGAACGCCTTGTTCAAGCAATTTCATTTCTTCTTCTCTCAGTTTTGCTCTGTGTTTTTCCTCTAAAACTTTTTGAGTATCTCCCTTTTTGCGACCTGACCTTACATTTCTTTCCTCGTTAGGTTCGTCTAGCGTGGGAATCGTTTCTTCATTTAGTTCTGAGGTTTCTGGACGCGTCCGAAGGTCGATTTCATTATCATTTTCCTCTTCCTTTTTATATGCAAAATGGTCGTAATTTGTGTCTTCTTGAAGATTTTTTGCATAATCAATTCCTTTCTCATTTTCGACAAATTTTACTGATCTTACTTCTTCTATTTTCTTAGTGATTATGTCATACACTCGATAAGCCTTTCTTTTCAGAGAATAGCCTACAGAAATACCTTTTCGACTTTTAGGCATAAGTTTACTTCTATGTTGTTGTGTAATGGGCCAAAACGCCAAACAACCGAATATTCTGAAATGTCGAATGGAGGGTTTTCTTCCTTTCCATTTCTCCATTGGTGTATCAAGCTTGATTGACCTATGTGGAGTACAGTTTTTGACCTATGATGCAGTAGCGACTGCCTCCGCCCAGAAAGCCATGGGTAATCCTGAATCAAATAATAATGTCCTTGCTGTTTCAATTAGGGTTCGGTTTACTCTCTCTGCAACTCCGTTACTTTGTGGCGAGTAGGTGGTGTATTCCATTTTTAATTAAGAGATTCTTGAATCTGTGATTAGTGAACTCTGTGCCATTATCAGTTCGCACATCCTTTATTTTCAGGTTTAGCTCATTTTCCACTCTTGCCTTAAATTCTTCAAACTTCCCCAAAGTTTCATCTTTGTTTTTCAGAAAGTAGATAAAGGTTCTTCGGCTGAAGTCATCAACCAGAACAAAAAAGTATTTTGATCCACCTAGAGATTGGTATGGCATTGGACCACACAAATCCATATGCACCAATTCAAGGGTTTGGTTGTACAGTTGGTGGTAACGGAATGGTAAGGTTGTCGAGTCAATTTCCCCATTATACAAGCTTCACATTCTGGCAAGTTCTTAAATTTAACATTAAACCCCAATACCATATTCTGTTGAATTATCTCTTTCATGTACGCTTCGTTCAAATGATTCAGTTTTCTATGCCACAAGCTGATATTGTCATTTGAGAAATCATCTTTTGTGGTCATGACATTCTCCGTCTTTTCCGAGTATTCATCTCTGACCTTGTTTCCATTACATACATCCTATCCTGTATTTGAGCCTCTGCAATTAAATCATCCTGTTCATTGTAAATCTTTGCTCCATCTCTATTGAAAATTACAGTATTTCCTTTGTTAGTTAATTCGTATATTGAGAAAAGATTAGACCTTAAGTTAGGTACATGCAGAACTCCTTTAATTTGAACATTCTCAATTCCGTTTTCGGTACAAGTAGAAACCTTGATATCACCTTTAGCTGTAGCATGTGTAACTTTACCTTCTTCTGCCAAATTTATCTCACTTTCATAAGGCATTACATTTTCCATCCAGTCCAAGTGTGGAGATAAGTGCGTAGTACACCCTGAGTCAAGACACCAGGTTTGTATCTGACTATAATTATTTGAGGAGTTTTCAAAAACTCGATCTGTGCTGGTATTGAAAGTTTGTTCCGCAGGCTTGCTTGAGACGGTATTCGCATTATTTCTGAAATTTTGTTTGTTATAGTTCGTATTTGAATTTGCATTTCTTTTCCCATGTTGTTCTTGAGTTCGCTTATTTTTGAACCAGCAATCTTTAGCTAAATGTCCTTTTTTATGGCAAACAAAACACTCCTTTTGTCGATTCTGTTGATAGTGATTTCTTCTGTCTTTACTTCTGTAAGCCTGTTCATTTTCATCAGAATGACTCCCATTCATCTTAGAATTCATTCGATTCTCTTCCTCTCTAAGTGACTGCCGAATTTCATCAAGAGTTAAGTCTCTTCTAGTTCTCAGTACAACAGCGATCTTTTCCAATCTTGGATGAATACCTCGCACAACATGAAACGCTAGTTCTCTTTGGGATATTTGGTGTCCGAGTGAAGAACTTTGAGAGGCAATATTTTTGGCTCTAGCCATATATTCATTTATGGATTCATTATTTTTCATCTTGATATTCTTAAGTTCAAGTCCAATATCAATGATCTTATCTTCTAGGTTGCCCGTGTAGATTTTCTTTAATTCATCCCATACTTTATTTGCTTTAGTTTCATCTAGAAACATTCCTGCTTGTTCATCTGATAGAGTTGTAACTATAATTCCAAAGGCTTCGTCATTCTTTTCACTCCATATTTGCCAAGCGACTTCATCTTTTATATCAGGCTCGGGATCCAAAATTACGCATTTAAA